AAAAAAAAAAAAAAAAAAAAAAAAAAGAACTGCTAGGTGTGCTAGCCAGTGGGGCACAGTGGATCCTGACAGTCCTAAGCTTCCAGAAGAGCAAAGCTCAGAAGACAGTGCAGAGAGTCAGGCTGAAGATTTGAGCTGTCTTCCTAAATGAAAAGGTAGTCTCAGAGAATCGAGGGAGAAATATGGACTCTGAGATGGGAAGGGTAGATCAGAGAGGAGTTGTAAGAAGCCAGTGGAAGTATAAGCTCCGTGTCGCAAGGGGCTATCTCTTTTGCCTATCATTGCTTGACTCCCATATCCCCTGAGCTTACAGGCAATTCTACTTATTTGAAGGACTCAATGAATGCATTAGTGCTACAAAATTCATGGATATGACTTGACAGTAAGAAGCATCAGGGTTTGGTTGCCAATTCAACTTGTCTGTATTGGGGTTTTTCTTCCCAAACTATTTGAAACATAAATAAGGACTGTCAGGCTCAGAAACATTCAGGCAAGAATAAAGTCCTGGAGAGAAGCTCAGGCTTCTTGGAATGGGGTTACTCTGCAGAGGGCAGTAACTGCCAGAAGAGGGTCCCACCAGATTGGTGGTAATGTAATAGAAGTAATAGCAGTATCTAAGGATGGGCAAGACACAGCCCCTGTATTAGTCCATTTTCATACTGCTATGAAGAAATACCTGAGACTGGGTAATTTATAAAGAAAAAGAGGTTTAATGGACTCACGGTTTCACATGGCTGGGGAGGCCTCACAATCATGGCAAAAGGTGAAGGAGAAGCAAAGTCGCGTCTTATGTGGTGGTAGGCAAGGAGAAGTATGCGGGAGAACCACCCTTTATAAAACCATCAGATCCCATGAGACTTATTCACTATTATGAGAACAGTCACCCCTATGACTCACTGACCTCCTACCGGCTCCCTCAAGATGAGATTTAGGAGGGACACAGCCAAAGCATATTAGCCCCTTTCCTCAAGTAGGTCAGAAAGGAAGAAAGGTCACGGAAAGTCTCTGCTTTTCACAAGGATTCCAGTGCTGTGTCACTGGCTGTTTCAGGAGTATGGGCTGTAGCAGCTCAGGCCTGGTCTTACCACTAAAAGTGAGCTGATCTGCACACTAAAAAATAAACTTGTCTCAGAGCCTGGAAACAGGACTTGTCCTCTTCCAGCAAGGACAGCCTGAGGAACCAATCCTTGTCTAATCATTGGGATGGAATCAGTGGGGAGGGGGAAAACGTTCTTGTTGGGGAGTAAGATTTTAAAATCCTACTGTGAGGTAGTAATAAAAACACTGTCCTAGGTTGAGGGCCCCTGAAAGAAACTGTAGTAATAGAGCAGGTAGAAATAAGTGCTTGTGGGGTAAGGGGCACAACATTACCCAAAGAGTGGCTTCAGGTATAAATTAGAAGGTATACTGACAGGCAATAATATGATAGCTAAAAGTAACCACAAAATGTAGAAGAGGCTGCGCGCAGTGAATCATACCTGTAATCCTAGCACTTTGGGAGGCTGAGGTGGGCAGATCATGAGGTCAAGAGATTGAGACCATCCTGGTCAACATGGTGAAACCTTGTCTCTATTAAAAATACAAAAAAATTAGCTGGGCATGGTGGCACATGCCTGTAATCCCAGCTACTCGGGAGGCTGAGACAGGAGAATTGCTTGAACCTGGGAGGCAGAGGTTGCGGTGAGCTGAGATTGTGCTACTGCAGTCCAGTCTGGCGACAGACCTAGATTCC